TTTTATCCAATTAAATTTCACTCCAACTTCGAACGAGCACTAAAATATTTTTTAAAAAATCTGCTCGTCGGACATTTTTACAACAGAGTAAATATTTCTGTTGGAAACTTTTTCTATTCTCAAGGATGTGAAAGTTTTTTATTTACACTCAAGCGTGTAATATAAAAGTTTCTTCGAACGGAAATGTAGTTACAACCGTAATTTAAAAAATTTTCATAGTTTCTTCGAAGTCGTTTTTTAAGCAGTGAAAAATATGCATTCTTGTTTATATTTGTGGTGTATTTTTGGCAAGCATTCTTCGTATCTGCAGATACAGTTTTTCTATGAATGCATCAAATCTGCTATTGTCAAGCTTTAAGATATATTGGAAACCGTATTACTGAATGAGGCATCGTAAGAATTTTATTGAAACTCTTCATGATTTATCTGATTTATTTTATCCTGATTTATATTTCACGATGTTTTCTAACTCCTGTAAAATTTATGATCATCAAATACACTTTATTAGTGTTACTGTTTATCACTGCTGATGTTTTATGCTTTATAATTCTGTCCATTGAAATTTATGAATCTTCGTTAGTATCCTAAGATTTATGAATGACTTCTGTACATAATATTGCTGTTGTGAGAAATAGTAGTTTCTTATCGATATCACGGCGATCATATTTGATCGGGCTCTTTCTCCCGCAAGGGTTTTTACTCTGGTTTTATCGTTGCAGCGTGTTTACGACTTCCGTGCTCTCTCGTTTCTCAAAATATCGTCTGAAACGCGGAGTTAAATAAACGTCACCTCCTCGCTATTTACAGAGAGCGGGCGCAATTCTAAAAATTGTATATCCACGCGATAAAAAGAATTTCCTGTAAATATTTGAGTTAATCTTGTTAGATGATTAAAAGGATTTATGTTATTTTGCTGCAGGCTTCCACACGTACACGCTGAACGAGACGACGCATACGGAGAGGGAGGAGGACGAGATTTTGACGGTGAGGTACGAGGACGGCAGGTGGTCCAAGCCTTATTACGATTGTGGCGGTGGCAATATTTGGATGCTCACGTACACTGTTCCCTTCTTTGGCTATGTCAACGACACGTACTTTTTAATTATAGAAAATGCGTTTTTCTAAAGTACATAAACTTTTGGGATTGACTGTGTAGCCAACACACCGTTAAAATATCGTTGGCAGGAATATCCAGTTGAAACAAGTTGAAAATCGTCGGGCGATTATCATGGTATCTCGTTTTCCCATCCGATATATGCAATTTAGGTTCACACGGTGTGAAAAAGCGTAACAAGAGAGAATCCCGTTTCCATTCACGTATCTCAGTCGGCAGGGCGAAATCTCCGACGAGACCGTATTTTCGAGCGTCGTACGTTTATCCGGAATCATTCCTGGTTCTCGCCGGAGAATGCATCAGTTAGTGAATCCCGTAGATTCAGCCGGTTCCAGTATAGCCGGGACTGGATTTAAGGGGGACAGTCGCGGCGCGAGGGAATACCGGGTTTCCGGTGAAACAAGCTCCGAATAAGGCACGTTGATGGACCCGGGATGAAGCCGAATAAATAATGGCTTGGCGAAATGGAATCGTCGAGTGCGACTTATATATATATA